GACACCTGCTCATCACATCCTGCACGGCAATATGACAGCAAACCCTAAACCCTAAACTCAAAACCCTAAACCCTAAACCCTAAAGTCAAAACCCTAAACCCTGAACCCTTAACCGTACGCACCCTCAGGCTTAACATTTCCTATCAGTCGCTCGACACCCTATGTTTTTTTTAGGGTTTAGGGGAAGGGTTTACTAGGTTGGAATTTAAGGTTTGGGGAACTACACACCCGGGCGCTTAACCTTCCCTGTCTGTCGCTCGAAACCCTGTTTTTTTCCTGGAGCGAACTCGCGAGGCTTCCTTGCTCTCGGAAAGCTTTGAAGCTTGCTTCTTGGGGGTTTCTACGTAGTTGTTTTTAGGAGTCCCTAGACTCAAAGCTTTCCAGAGCCTGCTACGTCCGCGCAGCTACTCCTACGGCACGAGCGGGCAAAGCCTCGCTCTCTTCGACGGGCACAGCCTCGCCTCGTCTGGACGGGCAAGGCCTCGTCCGGGAGAGATGGACGGGCACGGCCTCGTCAGGCTCGGCTCTTTTTAGCCTGCTTCTCTCCCCCTTTGGCCGGCGTCGTTTTGGCGCGGGCGCCCTTGCTGCATTCGCGCACTCTTCTGACGCGAGCATTGGACATAAAATGCGTTTGCGTTGGGATGTCCCAGTTCACGTAGTCGCAAGCCCGGCAGCGGAGCCTGCCATCCTCCAGACGCTCCGTCCAGCTTGTCGCCGGGTCCGCCTTTGCCTGCCGAATGCGGCAGCGGATTCGGCAGGAAGAGAAGCTGTGCCCGTTCAGGAGAAGAAGAAGGACGAGGCCTTGCCCGTCCAGGAGGCAGCGGCGAAGGAGCCTGCAAGCCGGCCGTACCTTCCAAGGCTGCGCCCTCTGCAAGCGTCGAGGCTGTGCACGACGCAAGGGCCGGGGCTTTGCCGCCTGGGCGCGGCCTCCTCCTTTGCGACCGGCGCAGCCTCATCCCTCTTTTCCTCCTCCTGCACCTGCTCTGCAAACAGGGCCTTGTCTCCTTTTTCCTTTTCTTTCTCCTCCTCCTGCTCTTCTTTCACTTCCGCCTCAGCAGGGCTCATTGGGCTCTCCGTTGCCGAGCCACTGGTCGCAGCCTTCTTTCTGCTGCTTTTCTTGGAAGACCGCCTCCTTCTCTTTGGCTCTCTTAGGTCGGGCACGGCCTCGACCGCCTTCGGTGCAGCCAGCGTCCCACCAGCTCCAGTCCCACTCTTCCCAGCGGGGCCAGCGGCCGTTTTTGCCGCCTTTACCAGCCTAGCTACGACTAGGGTGTGGGGAAAAGACTAAGCTAACCTATGTGTCACTCGATACATATAGCTTAATGCTAGAATAGAGTCTTTATATTTTCCCCACTCCCCAGTGAGACCTAGGCCAGCTACTCTCCACTTACACTCTACGTGCTGCTGCTACAACGCTAAGAGACGTGCTGGGCTAGAAGCCTAATTTAGGGTTTATAGGGTTTGAGGTTGCGGGCGTGTGCTGCTGCGAGACATGCATGCTTGCTGCTTGCTGTGCTTGCTGATAGAAGGAGCGGCGCGGCGGGTGACAACGGACCATAAAGAGCTGGCGGAAGCCGTGGCGAGGAGGATCGCGTCTGAGAAGTTGAGCTACCGCCAGGCTCGCGCGCTGAAGAGCACGATCTTGAAAGAAGCTGAGGAGAAGACCAGCAAAATTTCGGCAGCGGCTGCCTGATCAGATTTTCCAGCGCGCGAGGCTTTGCCCGCGCGAGCTCGGCGGCGAGGCTCTGTGACCGCTGCCGTAGTGCTCTGAGTGGGTAGATTTTTTTAAAGGTTTAGTAGAGCGTCAAGCTTTTAGACCCTGCAACAAACAGGCGCTGACGGTTTGGATCGTGTTTGCAACGCGCGCTCGACGAGCGGCCGGCTTCTTTGCCACGGCCACCACTTGCTCCTCAGGCTCCGCCGCCGCGCGGGCACGCCTCGCGCTGGTCGAGGCAGCCGGCTTCTTCAGCGCGGGAACCAACTGCTCCTGCGCTGCCTCTTCAAGCTTCACCGTCGTACGGGCAAGCCTCGTACTGGCCGATGCGGCCGGCTCCTTGAGCACAGGAACCAACTGCTCCTCGCGCGCAGCCTCCTCAATTTTCACGCCTGTACGGCCAAGCCTCGTACTAGCCGATGCGGCTTCTTTAGCGCAGTAACCAACTGCTCATCGCGCGCAGCCTCTTCAATTTTCACGCTTGTACGGGCAAGCCTCGTACTAGCCGATGCGGCCGGCTTCTTTAGCGCAGTAACCAACTGCTCCTCGCGCGCAGCCTCTTCAATTTTCGCGGTCGTACGGGCAAGCCTCGTACCTGGTTCGAGCTTGGCAGGGCTCTCTCGAAGCGGCAGCGCGCCAGGACTGACATGCGGCCTAGCGCGACTGTCACTGACCGGCGTCGCGGGCATTGACCAGTTGGGAGAGCAGGCTGCTGGTCCGGGCTCGCTTTACTGGCGGCTCGGGCGTGAAGTCTACGTTGCAGCGCTTGGTCTCCGGCGTCTTGCTTCTGCAACGCACGCGTTGGGGCAAGGCCTCCTTGCGAGTCTGCGGCCCAGGACTCGCCATCTTCGTGTTGCTGCTGCGCGGCGGATCCGGAGCTTGGGGCACGGCCTCCATGCTCTTTGTTTTCTGCGTCTTCGGCTTGCCGGACATCGTGCCTTGTATCACTTTCACCACGGCAAACGTTGCCGGCTGCAGCTTTTTCCCAGTGGTAGCAGATCGGGCTTTATCCTGGCAATACTGAAAAGCCTTGGAAAGCCTGTTTGCGCACAGCTCGGCCTCGGAGGCTGTAACGCGCTCGAAAGCGTGCATGATTCCCGCCCGGCTTCGTTCATCCTGGGAGTGCGACCAGCGACGTCCAGCAGAAAGTCTTTGAAGCACGCCACCACCTCATCCAAGTCCGTTCTGGAATAATCTTCCTTCACGCAGGCCGACAGGTTCCCCCGAAGCATCTTGCTGTAGTCCCGAGTCGCAAGAACGTCCTTCGCGCGAGCCATACGGAGTCTCCTACAACCCCAGAAAGGTGCTACGCGGTCCCTAACCTTAAAATCGACTTGAGCAGAGGGAAGCACGGCAGCGCGGCTGCTGACTCGCGTGTCTTATAAGCTCCTTCGTTGTGTTATGTGCGAAAGAAATAACCTACTGCATGCATGCGCGCATAAAAGATATATCGCAGCATTTTCCTGCCGGCCTTCTTGTTCAGATGCGACAGTAATGTTCCGAATTATGCTGGCAATTGATTAACATGCAGGTCGTGAAACACGAATTATCTTGTAGCGGGCAAAACCTCGCTGCTTTCGGTGTGGTTACAACCTCACACGCCGCCCATAACACTTCATAGAGCAGTAACGGTCAACAAAGCCTCGTTACGCTGCCAGATATGGTCATGGCCTCATACCCTACGGCAAGTCAGTAAAAATTGATCGCCCAGAGTGCTCTTGATTTCGTTGTGCGTCAACTGCTGCGGTCTCGGTTCCGCCTTTTCCTTGGCCACAAAGTGGTCTATGATTCGATCCACTACGTCAAGCGGATTTCCAAGACGGACGTGGTCCAGGCGAATGCTATGGGCTCGATTGAGAAACTTCACGTCCTTGGCAGTCAGACGCTGCCACTGCTTGCCATTTCGGAGCAGCTCCAGGAACTGAGCATAAGGGCTCAGCGCAGCGCCCTCTGTGTCCACTCGCCATGGTAAAGGCGATGGCGAAGGATCCGCTGGATCTAGGGAAGTGGCTGCTGGAGGAGGGATAGGGGTTAAAAAAAAACTTTATAAGCATCAAAAAAAACTTTATAAGCATCAAAAAAACTTTTTAAGCA